TCGCGCGACAGCGCAGAGCGCCGTGTCGCATGTGTGGCTGCCGCCGGTCGTGCCGTCGACGCACCCGCTGCCGTGCTGCGAGAAGTGTGCGACGTCCGACGCGGCCAAGACGAACGCCGCGACGCTGACGTCGGAAAACAACACGGCGTACCCGAGCGGGCCGTATTTGTGCCACTTTTGCGACACGTTCATGCTCCTGCGCCGCATCGGCGAGCTGCCACCGCGCCCGATCCCGCGCACGACGCGCAGCGTCGCCAAGGCCAAGGCCGACGCACCGTACCTCGAAGAATGGATCCTTTAGCAGGAAATGCTGTGGCCCAAATATTGCATTGAAGAATGCGACGTATTTTGCATTGGATTTGATGCTCGGCTGACATTACGAGAAGGAAACTAACAACCATCTGTCGGGTTGACAGCACCATTCGGAGTGGCTCTTGCGTGCAGACAACAAGGGACCAAAAACCAGTCGTTCAGCCTACTAGTAGTCGTTCTAGTCGACGCTGGGGTTGATCCAACAATGGACATCGAGGCCGCCTTCGCTGGACGTCCAGCGTTATGGCCGAGGATACGATCGACTGTGTTCCGTTGCGTTCGCATTTCTGTGGTTTCATTCTGTGGAGATGAAGCGGCGTCGCATGGCGCAACCAGCTGGTGCGTCGATGCACGAGGTCAAACGAAACGTGCGGTTCGCGTTGGCTCACGAGATGGAATCACCCGAGTCCTGTGTCCAGCCAACGACTCGTCCGTGGCAACTGGAACAACCGCGTGAGCTCATGCAACGATCAACCTCATGGGCAGATAAAGCCTTGAAGTTTGGGCACTCGACGAACCAACCAACGTAAAACTTGTGGTAAGACATTCACTCGCAAGCGCGATACGTTGAAGCTCAAAGAGAGATCAGACCTAGGAAAAAGGTGCCCTGGACGGAGCCAATGCTTGCCTTCAACGCCTTGCTCCTCGAATCTTGCGGCTGCAGGACTTACTATATGGTGCGCGGAACAGTCTATAACCACCAGAGGCTTCGAGGTACGTATTCGCTACGCTGACTATTTCGTCTTCACGTGCAACTTGAAGACAGCGGAGGACGTCCTCGCGCCGGATCCTTCCACCGAAGTCGTCGGCGGCGGCAAATCCCCAAATTTCTTGAATTTCGCCTCTCGATGCGGATTGGCTAAATTGTCTGTGACATGTAGAAATGCAACGATTTCATTGGTGCGCGCATGCTAAAAATAGAGGGCGAAGGCGAGAGAAGCCGAGGATCTGGCACCCGAAAGGCCGCAAAGTGCAATTTGGCGGAGAATGGATAAGCAAGCTTGGCACGCGCCGTCGCTCAACATCTTCGACATGGTGCTGCCGACCGGCGACAAGGTCGAGCTCCAGCGCGGCCAAGCCGTCGTTCCCAACGCAGACACGCCGCTTGAGTTTGAGAACGAGTTCTTCAAGGGCAAGGTGCTCTTCCTCCTTCAGACGCAGCCCGCACCGCCCAAGTGGCAGCAGCTCTTTCTCGGTCGCCGCCGCCTCTTTTGGATCCAGCTCCAAGGCCAGTTCAAGCAAGAGCCGCGCGGCCTCGTGTACATTGGCGGCGAAGTGTCCAACAAGCTACGCCTCGGTCTCCTCGCGACCACCATGTGTCGCGTCATCCTGTCGGTCCTAAACTTGCTCGTCGCCGGTCTCCATTACGGCTTTGGCCGCATGTACCCCACGGACGTCCGTCAGCGCGGTGAAGAGGAGCTCGCCCACATTAGTTTTCCGCTCCACTCGTCGGTCGACGAGTTCGTGCGCACACCGGCAGGCCAGACACCGCCACCGCTGGGCCAGGACGGCTTTGGCGAGACACAAGCAGATCGATCGGCGCGGAAAGCAGCAAAAGGGCGGTACCAGTTCAACACGCGCGACACGTACACGTTCTCGTTCTTCAGTTTCTACATCGATTTCGAGCACTGGCAACTCGTCAACGTGCCCGGCGTCCCGGTCGTACCGCTCGAGAAGTTTTGGCAAACGATGCCGATGCGGATTGTAGCGTACAGCATTGCGTCCGCGACCGACATGTCGACGAAGAAGCCGCACACGCACAACGAGAAGCAGTATTACATGAACATGGAGCTCTCGCCGACGCGGTTCCGCGACATTTAACGCGCCCCTTCCAGCGCACGTACCAACTACTATTAACGCATAACGCAAATTATTTCTTCACTCCTGCTCGCAGAGCTCAGGTAGACACGCAAACTCGACGCTGCTGCAGATTTTTGTCTGGATCGAAGAAGTTGGCAGGTGAAACCCAATCCGACCGGCAGGTTTTCTCCTCTCGCCCGATTCCGTGAAGGCTTCGATTATCGATAACAGGTCCCGTGCGGGGTGAGCTGGTAGGAACTTTTGAATATATATATGGACGTGTTTCGCGGGATCTTGATGTTACAAAGAGGTTGCATACATAGATACTAGCAATCTCCAACTCCTTCATTCGTTCACCGGGCTGTGGCTGCGCAGGCGGCGGCGCGGGGGCTCGTCTTGCTCTTCTGTAGTCGCCCGGGGGCGCTAGCGGCCGCAGGTGAGGCCCATGACGACACGATGTGTAGAAGCCTTCCTGGCTTTGCCGTTGGCGGCAGAGCTACGCAGTTGGTTGAGGTCCTCGAGAGACGCCAGCGATTGAGGCGGCGTCAACGACTAGAGGTCGCGGTGCAGGACGATGGGCAGCGTGATCTTGGTGCGACCTAAAAAACGGGGTGCATCGGGCATGGCAAATAAGCGGGCGGCGGCAATGCTGACAGGGACGTTTTCCTTCA